TACCAGAATTAATGCAGTCAGTTCTATTGCAAATGCAGACTATTTCCAACTATTCATTGCAAATAACACAGTAATGAACATCTTTCTGCATAATGTTTTTCTCTCAGGTTATTTCCTCATGACTGGCTTCCAGTTCTTGGATCTGAGAGTATGAGATGTTTATGGCTTTTGATATACTTTACCTGATTGTATTCTGAAATAGCTATATACCAATTTGGGATTTCAGACTGCCTGTTTTACTGCAGCTTCACCAGCATTGAGGATTGCTGGGGGGTTTTTTTCTTTCCTTGGTTCTTTGTGCATGAAACATTGTGCTTGTTTCGGGCACTAGCTACGTGTCTCATCATAGGTGCACTTGGAGGTTTGGCAGTCAAACTTGGATGTCAGGGTTAATGTACAGTCACTGTGTTTGGGGCCTGGGTAACTGGAGCCCTTCTTGCCACTTAAGATGTTGATCAGCCTTTAAAGAGGTTTTTTCTCTTTAGGTATTAAGAGACTCACGGATCCACCATCTCCGGCTCCTGAACATCTTAGGCTGCCACGCCGTCTTCTTTATGATCCCTACATGGGTCTTAGTGGACCTCTCCGCTTTCCTGGTCAGCAGTGACCTGGTAAGTTGGCCAGCCCTGAAAACATACCCTTTTCTTGAATGGCTCCAAAGTAGGTGCTTTGTCGGGGAGTTACACTGCTATGTTGGGGCATTTGGGGCCTCTGACAGCCTAGGCCTTTGAACACTCAGATCTTTGTCAACTCACATTGTGTGCAGTCAAGGACGTCGACTTCCTTTGCATTTCTTTCTCCACTGTGCTAGATCGCAGTTGCTAACAGCAGTCGCATTGCACTGGTGGCATGAAGGAAGAAAAAACTGCCAGGATGGAGGACTTTCCTATCTTAATAGCCTGGTGCAGCTCTCATTCTTTTGAAAACTGTGCTCGATTCCTTTCTTGGTGTCATCTCTACATGTTTCCATTTACTCCGATTCTAGCTGTAGCTCTCAGCAGAGGGAATAGCCTCTTTCCCCCGCCAGGCCAGCCTCCAGAGAGTGCTAACGCAGGTGACAGTGACAAGGAGGTGGGCGTGGCTCTTCTAGGCCTGAGTTAGGGAGGAGTAAATGTTTATTAGGTCTGTCTGGATTCTTGACATTGATCTTTAATCTTTAGCACCACCTGTGGATGTGATAGAGAACATCTCCAGTTACCAGATGAGCTAACTGGCTCTGTTCTAATTCCCTTCCACACTGATGAGCTGTGATTTTTCTGTTAAGAACTTTCCATCGTCAACCAGGACTAGTCTGTTACCTTGAAGTACAGTGCACTAGAGGCAGATCAATGCTTCTCTTTCCTTTTAATTACCAGTTTTCAAAGTAAAGAGTTAAGAGTTCAAATGTTAACCAGTGAGTTGAAGTTTTCTTTCCTTTTTGAGGGATGGAGGAGGGTTCTATTTTTTTTTCTTTAGTGTCACTGTGCATTTGTGTTTGTCAGTCATATATATTAGTCTTTTCATATTCAAATTATCCTGTCTTAGCTGATAGAGTCCTCTCTGTTGGCTCCCTGCCCTCTGACAGCACACGTCAGCTTTTGATGACTTTTGGTCCAGCAGGATGTCCTCCTTAATCTATGTACCTCCCATCCCAGACCTGCCATCAGCCACTCCTTGGGGAACGCAGGTTGCTTATAGTGGAGAGTGGCGTTTAGAGACACAGTCTGAATGCCATGTGTGCTCACCCCTATTGGGCCATCGTTGCTTTTAAATCTTTGCAATGAAACATTACGAAAGACGTATTCGGGAGCAAAAGGGAGAATTCATACTGATTCTTTCCGGTTTCCATTTACTATCTCAGGATTTATTACTGCTTTGATTTTTTATTTATATCTTTTCTGGAACACTTGGTTTCTCACAACATTTTCTATTTGCTTATCCTACGCTACTCCAGTTGTTCACATACATGATTCCACTGTATACACATATAATCACTTCAGAATGAGAATCTTGAGGGACAGCTGCGGGTTGAGCACTGAGAGAAGTTTAATATTTTTGTGCAGCTCTTTTTCCTTAGAACATGTTCCTTTAAAAATGTACAACAGGTCCTCGAGTAATGTTTTATGACAGTGTTAATGAGATGCCGTAGGAACTTAACTCTTGTTTATATCAATTAGCTTATGGTAAATTGGCTTCTTTATACATCAGAATCTATTGACGACATTAAGTAAGGACTTAGAGTACAATTGAAATGCTTTTCCTAAGGGCACTTGAGTTAATCGTTTCGCAATGTGCCTGTGTCACAAACTTACTGTGTAATTGAGTTCCTTTACTTGCATTTGTTTTCAATTTTTAGGAATTGCTTTTTTTTTTTTTTTTTGACCCTACTAAATATGTCAAATCTTTATATTTCCCAAACCAGATGATAAGTCTGGGTCAGTCCCTGTCATCTCCACTCTCTCCTTTCCCTTCTCCCGTAGGTAGCCATTTTTATGCTCTTGATTTACCCTCTCAGTGTTTCTTTTCACAAATATAAGTGAACTTGTATATATTCATACCTTCTGTCCTCTTTACACAAAAAGTGACTTTTTAGATATTTAGAAAAGAGCAAATTCCTCTTTTCACTCAATAATATGTCCTGGAGATAGATCACTCCATATTGATGTATTTAGGTCTTTCCCATTTCTTTCATTGGGTGCATTATATCGTCTCTATGTTGCAGCTCTTTGGTGTCTCTGTATACACACATACAAACATGTACATATTAGGCTTTGCTCTGGTCTCTCTTTGCTTTTTCTTGTATTGAGGACGTTTTTCAGTTTTCTTCTAGTGATTACCTGTTTTATAATTACTTTTAGTATTCTCTTTTACTTGTTGAGGCCATGTGTATGTATGTGCGCATACGCGCGCGCGTGCGTGCGTGTGTTTGTGTGTGTGTGTGTGTGTATTTACCTTGATGGGGCCCTTGTACATTCTAACAACAGCCTAGGAACACGTTATTCGACAGTGCCCTATAGAGGCTGTTACCCCAGCTCGGGGCAAAAGTCTAGGTGACTTTGAGTAGGTCACCTAAGTGTGTCTTATTCACCTTAGAGAGGACTGTGTGATCCCTCCCTCTCAGAAGGTGGTAGAGATGGAATCAGCCAGCCATCCTAAGATTGCTCCAGCTCCTGTCCTAGAAGGGCCACCGTCCTGAGGGAGCCAGCTGTGTCCTCTCCACAACCGAGGCCATTGTGGCCCGGGAATTGTCCTGCAGAGAGCAGCTGCTACCAAGCAGCTGTAGCTTTGCTGCATGATGGAGCCACGTCAGGTCTTGACACTGCTCTGCCCTCAGAGCACTGGGCTGCAGGGCTATCCCAGCACTGTTGTCTGGGTCATGGACACTAGAGAGATGTACAGCCTGGGGCCGTCTGTGCTAGTGTGCCATGTCCTGGCAGCCTTGTCTGTACAGCTTCTTGGTTCCCTGGCCTGGAGGATTGGTGCCAAGGTGGGACTGTGGAGGCCAGGGAAGCGCAGGAGCTGTGCTGCGTGCCTTCTGATGCCCAGCCGTGAATAGATATAAATGCATAAATATTCAGCACTGAACATCCCCAGCCGCCTGGCCAGGGCAGGGCCTACTTGGTTCTCCCCCATCTGCCTGTCCAGGAGTCAACCCAGACTCTTTGGGAAGTTCTCTGGTCCAAATGTCTGCTAATTGTGGGTCTTGACTTTTGGGTCCCCTTAACCCAAGTGCCTCATTCCAGTGAGAGTCAGACAATAACTGCAGTATTGATAACATCGCCTTCTTCTCATGTTTGTGTGGCTTGGTATTGTTTTAAAGCACTTACAGAGCCATGATCGCATTTGATCTCCACAGCTGTGGCATGTGTGGGCTCAGCCGGAATCATCCCCCATTACATAGACAAGAAACTGACCAGAGAAGTCAAGCAGCTACCTAGGACTCCCAGCAATGGGGCAGACCTGGCAGCTCTGGCTCTGCACCTGAGGGTTCTTCACACACTCGGGGGCCTTCTTTCCAGGACCTCCCCATCTTATAGAGTGCATCATGTCTGCTATGGTCTTAATGTTTGTGTCCTCCAAAAATCCACATGTTGAAACCCAATCCCCAATGTGATGGTGTTAGGAGTTGGGGCCTTTGGGAGGTGATTAGGTCATGGGGGTGGAGTCCTCATCAGTGGGATTGGTACACTTAAAGGGACCCCAGAGAGCGCCTTTGCCTCTTCTGCAACTTGACAACACCACAAGAAAACGCCATCTAGGAACCAAGAAACCCACAATGAGACACGGTATTTGGACTTCCAACCTTCCAGAATTAAGAAATGTCTGTTTGTAAGACTGTGGTGTCTGTTACAGAAGCCCAATCAAACTGAAACCATGTCCAGTAAGCAGACATTGCTCTGCTAATTTGAGGGCCCTGGTCTTCACTGTCCAGGAATGAAGGAGGGAAGCCTTTGGTTCACGTTGTGCTCTGTGCCCTCTGGGCACCTGACTTCCTCTCCAAGCCTCTGCTTCCTCAGCAGGAGGGGGAGGTGGTGATGGTGATGGTGATGATGGTGGTAATAGTGATGGTGGTGATGGTGATGGTGATGGTGACTTGTGCCATGCAGACTGTAGTGAGGGTTAGGGGCTATGCTACATATAGAGTACATGGTATCACACAAGGACCCACCTGGGTCTGCTGCCCACCCACTATTACCCCAATAAGCAACTCTGTGCCCCCTCCCCCCACCTCTGCCAAGGCAGGCCTGTAATCATGGTGCTCTCTTGACCCCCTGTCTATAGACCTATGTGTACCAGTGGCCCTGGACGCTCCTGCTCCTGGCTGTCAGCGGTTTCTGTAACTTTGCCCAGAATGTCATCGCCTTCAGCATCCTCAACCTCATCAGCCCTCTAAGCTACTCGGTCGCCAACGCCACCAAGAGAATCATGGTCATCACGGTGTCCCTGATCATGCTGCGGAACCCGGTCACCAGCACCAACGTCCTGGGCATGATGACAGCTATCTTGGGTGTCTTCCTGTACAACAAGGTGAGTTTGGGATGAGGAAAGCTGTCCCCTCGACACCCAGGGAGACACTAAGAGTTGGTGGAGGCGGAGAATAAAAGGAGCCTCACCAGGAGCTGAGAGGTGCGGGTTCTAGCTCTCAGCTTTGACACTGATTGGTCTGTGGTCTTGGCACAGCCCCACCCACCCTGGCCTTCTGTTTCCCGCATGGATGACCCTGGCCTTTGCCTTGCTCCAGCCATGGCTCTCGGGTCCACTGAGGCTTTGTCGGGATTTTGCTCTCTCCTCACATAGGCTCTGTTTAGTCGCCTGTAAGGACATGGGATGGCTAACAGGGAGGGCTAGTCCTTTAACCGTTTACTGACCATATCTGAGCCCCACTTGGGGCAACACTTGCATTGGCCTTGAAAGGCTGCTTGCCTGTGAATCTTGAGCTTCCCTGTCCTCTGTGCATGTCCTGGAGAAAGAGCCATGTGTCTCACTGCTCTCTTGACCCTGCAGACCAAGTACGATGCGAATCAGCAAGCGCGGAAGCACCTCCTCCCCATCACAGCGGGGGACCTGAACAGTAAAGAGCACCTTCGGAGCCCCCTGGAGAAGCCTCACAATGGCATCCTCTTCCCCCAGCATGGGGACTATCAGTATGGCCGCAACAACATCTTAACAGACCACTTCCAGTACAGCCGGCAGAGCTACCCAAACTCATACAGTTTGAACCGCTATGACGTGTAGAACCTAGAGGACAGGGTGGGCCGTCTGCGACTTCTCCCCCACACCCAGCAGTACGTCTGACAACCAGTGAATGTAAGCCCAACCACAGGGATGGTGCACAAACCATCAGAGGACCTCGGGGTTCCCAGCCTCCAGGGCAGCAGGATGACCTCCCTGCAGCAAGGATCACCACCCTCAAGCTCTGATGTTTCATGCCTTTCCTTCTTGGAGTCTCTCAAGTCTCTCTGAGGGCACTGTGGAGATCTTGGCTAGATTTTACCTTTCTGCGTGGACTTATTCTCCAAGTCATTTATTTCAGAGTTCTTGTTCTGCTTTCCAGATAACTCTCTGGAAAGGCAGGATTGCTGTGGATACAGATCCCAGTGCAGGCAAGGAGATGGACTCAGTTTCCCTGCAGCCCCATGGCCGTTTGCAGTTACTAGCAAGCACTCCCAAGTGAACAGCTATTTTAGTTAGCATTGAATTCTTGGAAGCTGATTATTTGACCTGCAAATCAGTCGGTATGTGTGGGGACCCAGAATGAGGGGCAGAGACGGGCATTGCTTCTCTTGGGATAGTAAGGAGGAGGTGATTTAGAGGCTGGGGGAGGGATCATTAGGAAATCATGTTCAGTGTTTCAAGCTCTATTTCTGTAATAGTCATTTTTGTCTTTTCTGGTGGGTCCTCACTGCTGTGATGACTTCACGAGATGTTGAAGAGGTATTGATTTTATGAGGATCTCGCATTTTTCTAGGGAATATTTTGTAGTTGTGTGTGTTTATGCCTTGGTCCCCAGGAGGGGACACATGAGGACTAGCTTATGAATTGAAAACCCTTTTGTTTTTAAATGTTTAAAAACAAGAAAAGTTCCCACTGGTGATGCCTGTCTTGACGCATTTTGGCATTCCGTAGGAAGAAATGGTGCTGAGAAGCGTCTCTCTAATGACCACAATCGCTGAAAGCGGAATGAATCAAAAACATCTTAATGATTGTGTCAGACAAGAACACAGTGCTTTGATTCCATGGTCTATTTTTGTGTTTACATTGAAATCTGAATCATGTCCTGGTAAAGGAGAAAAAGGGCAAGCACCAAGCTAAGATCTGCTTTGCCAAATGAGATGCTTTGGTCAAGAAAAAGTTTAGGTTTTGTCAAGTTCACATCATCAGGAAAATTATGTGTGCCAAGGTCCAGGTTGGGGTCTCTATCTTTGCTGGCATCACGCAGGACTGTATCCTCCTTCCCTGAGGGCACCACTGGTTGGAGTCCATGAAGATGGCTGGATGGCTGCTTTCTTCCTTCAACACTGTCTCCAGCAGATGGGATGGGGATCACCCTTTACCTCCTCGTGAGTGAGACGTTTCCCAGTTCAGAGAGGAAGTGACATAGCTTATGCTTGACTCCTGGTTGTTTTTGATAATTAGAATTTTGTATTTAAGAGGTTTCATTTTGTCAACTCATGAATGGACCACTCCTGGAGAGGTCACGGATAACTTTTAGCCTGTGAGTTTATGAACCACCAGCCTCAGGAGTCTCCACTGCCTGTTGTTTGCTTGCTTATAATTACTTTGGCCAAGTTTTGAGATGTGCTGTTTGAAACCTGAAAAGGCAATCCTGAAGGGTGTTACTGGTGAGAAGAGCTCACTGGGTACCTTCCCCAGAGGTAGTCGAATCTGCAGTTTTCTCACTGGTTAATGATTAGAGTAACTGACTCCTTGAACATACAATTGAACTCCAAAATGAATTATGCCTCCATTCAGCTTTAATGAAATTTCCAATGTTGCTGAAATTTGTTTATTAGTTTTCCTTTTCCAGTGCAAGATCTGCTGGTGAAAGGAAATGACTGACTGGTTTTATTATGGTTTATAAATTAATAAATGGGATATTTAATTCTGTGCATAAATTTACAGTAAGTATATACACTGGAATGAATGAGACAATCATATCAGACCAAATCATCAAGTCAAAATACAAAGACATACTTTTGAGACTTGACAGTTCAGAGCTGGCATTGACCTCTTGAAGGCCAGTTTTCTAGCCCTGGCCCACCACCCCCACCCCGCTCCCATGTTCGCATTAGCAGCTCTATTTCCCTCACACTCCCCAATGCTGGGGTTTTGTGGCGGTGAGTTCAGTTTACCCATCTGTGGTGTGGTCTAGCCTACGACAATAACTCTAACCCAACTCTTTCATTTTACAAAGGGGAAACTGAGGCACAGAGGGCATTTTTGAATAGTGTTTTATTGTGTTGAGACTTGGTGTGGAATTTTTAAGCACCTTAAGTCATTCATTTTAGGGAAAATCAAACCCGTTACAAAGGAGAGAAGCCAAAATACGTTCCAGTGAAACAGCACGTGGAATCCCTGACCTTTGCTGTGTATTTGGCATCCATCAGGCAACAGGCCCTTTATTATCGCTGGGACGTAACCAGACCCGATACCTTAAGGATCTAACAGCCTTAAGGGCATAGAACATGAAATTATTAAAGGATCTGAAAATTGTGAATTTTTTTTTCAATTTTCACCTGTTTTCAAGACTTAAATGCTATAGACTTCTGTGGGAATGATACTATGTTATATTCATTGATGGCATTTACCAAAAATAAATGATGATCTCCAGGGAATTGGAACTGGTCCAGTTTGTTGGCGAGGGTCTCTTTCTGAGTGACCCTATCTTCAGTGTGCCCAGCAACAAGAGGTAGACAAGAGAAACTGACCTGGTTATCATATCCTTTTTTTTCCTGAGTCAAATTTAGGACCTGTGATTTATGAATTTATGAGATGGTAGAATAAAATTATAGAATCACAGCTTAACAGTTAATGACATGCCTTTACTGAACAAAGACATGGAAAACCCAAGAATGTTGTGGCAGCTGTGCTTATGCAGCATATTTCTGAGGGGTAATACCTAATACTAAGTACCTGCTACATGCCTGATGCAGTGGTGGATTTTCACACACAATCCTTATAATCTCTTTGTGTTAAGTTTTGTTACTTATTTTACAGATGAAAACGAGGCCCAAAGGAGTTAAGTCATTTGTCTGGATCACACAGCTGTCTACCTCCAAAGCCCAGTTCTCCTTCTATGACTCAGAAACCATTCCCAACAGAATTTTCAATTCCACTTGAAGGTGTTGACGAAGCATAAGAGAGTTGGAAGGCTTTGGCTAGAAATAAACGACAAAGATCTGTTCAAGGGTCTTAGGATTTGCAAATCAGAAACAAAACTAGGCAATTCTCAGAGTATTCCAAAGTACAAAAAACAGTTCTCATGGTAAAAAGTACATTCTTGAGAACAATCAGTCCTGCATTCTGAGCCTCTGGACTGCTCTGTGATGCTACTCTTCCAGAAGTTATGTGGTCTCGACGTGGATTGTTTTCCTAAGTATGTCATATTTTCCTAAGTCCTTCCGAGGGTTGTCCAGGGAAATTTATCTCCAGGCATTGACACAACTGAAAGGTTCAAAAGCTTAAGTCCTCATGCTGGTTAAAGCAAGAATGGATTCATTTCCTCATGCGTCAGCCTACTTGATTTTATTTAGCAGTTTGACTGTAGTAACTCAATTTTATTTCTTCACGCTTTCCTCAAAGGGTATGAGTTTCTATTAAAATAACTGCCCATATCTTTTTAATTCATAATCCTTTTGTTCAGTGATTTACTAAGCACTTAATATGTGCCAAGTACAGTAAACAGATATGTAAGCCTCCCACCCTCAGGGAAATCAGTTTAATTTATAGATGTGTAACTAAGGTGCTATGTTGGAGGTATGTGAAAAAATACTAAGCAAAGTGCAGAGTGATTATTTAAGGGACATATGGGAATATTTTGACTTGCATTTATAATTTACAGGATATTTTTTGCACATTTTGTATTTAAATGCCTCATTTAACCATCAGAAACCAAATAGGATAGATTAGCCCCAACTTACAGAGGAAGATAGAAACGGGAAGTCGACTTAGCCCATGAAGCAGGCCTGAACCCAGTCTGACTCCAAGCTCAGGGCCTTCTGCCTAGCAGAGTAACCACAATAGTGAGCTCATTTGTTTTTCTTCACCTTTGTTATATACCCCTAAGAGGAACTGCTGTGGTCAAAGATGTATCTGTCATTTTACTTACCTGGGCCACAGTGCTACAGTAAGACCCTGAGGGAGCCCTCAAGTTTGGATGACCCACGTCACTTTTCAGTCTGCTGCAGCAGTTCCAACAAGGCCTTGAATGGCTCTGGCCCAGAATAGAGTTACCACCTTAGGAGTTAGGGCCAGGTTTAGGAACGGCCTCATCGTTCAGATACTAGAGTCTGAACTCCTACTCAGGAATGTCCTCTTCCAGAGACTGGAATACCCGTTTGCCTCAGGGCAACTCCCGTGACCAGAGGTTTGCACTGTGATGTGATCAGGCCCAAGAAACTCCATGCTCTGGCACAGGACAGGACCTTCTCTGTTCCCACATCATTCCTCCTGCTGTGGCTTCAGCTAGTGGACTACATAGGGTTCAGTTACCGCAGGAGACACCAGGTGAGTCACACCAAGCTCTGGCTTTATTGAGACTGTAGGTCTGGATTGGCCCAGATATCCTCAGTCACCCCCTACTTTTAAAATAACTTTTACTGTATACTTTTTTAAGTTTGAAGAAGCTAAAATATCAAAAAGAAATGAGAAAGATCTATGTAGAAGGAACAATTTCCAAAATATATCACTGAGATACATGTGTTTCTAAATAGTTTATTGCTAAAAAAATACAAAACAGCAGTTCCATCTACTGTGTGTGTGTGTGTGTGTCTGTGTCTGTGTGTGTATATATATTTAAACTGGCATATTGTATTATTTTTAATCTGCTTTTTAAAAATATGCCAGAAACATTTTCCCACATTATTAAATATTCTCTCTTGATTTTGTGTCTGTGTACATGGTACTGTAGTATTCCCTTGCAGGGATGTCCTACAATTAACCCTTATTGCTCCACATTTAAAAATCATTTTATGGGACAAGTGTGCTTTCTCCTGCCCCCTTAAGCTACACTTCTGATTTAGGATACATTCTTCACAGCACATTAACAGGATCAAAGCACCCAGGTATGCATGTTGTTTTAACTTCTTTCCATTTTGCTTTTTAGGTGGGTCCCTTCAGCAAGTTCATCTCACCCAGGATTGTGCAGTTTATTTAAGTCTTGTTTCCACGTTCTTGGAGGCCATCTCTGCAGCAGCCTCTACTTCTACCAACTCTCTGCTTTCTTCTGACCAGTGGATTGACTAGCCCACTGAAATGAGCCTGGATGAAGCCCTGTGATGCTTAAATTTTCAGTCTCAGATAACCGCATTTTTAACATTGAAACGAACATATGAAAGTAGTGGTCATGAGTGTACAATCTTTCTGGGGCAGATGAGCAATATCAGTATTAAATGTGCACACCCTTTGATTCAGCACAAGATCTACATATACTAAAACATTTTTAGTAGTGATTTAAAAATGGAACCAACCCAAGAGACTCCATAGAGTCTAGCTTTAATAAATTACAGTAAATCCATTGGTACAGACTCTATGGAAAAGTGTGAGGGTTCCTCAAAAAATTAGAACTACCTTATAACGCAGCCATTCCACTTCTGGGTATTTATCTGAAGAAAACTAAAACACTAATTCAAAAAGATATATGCACACCATGTTCATTGTAGTGCTATTTATATTAGCTAAGATATGGAAGCAACCTAAGTGCCCATCAATAGACAATTGGATAAAGAAGATGTGGTACACATATACGATGGATTACTACTACACCATAAAAAAACTTATCATTTGCAATGACATGGATGGACCTAGAGAGTACATACTAAGTGAGGTAAGACAGAGAAAGAGGAATACCATATGATTTCACTTATATGTGGAATCTAAAGAACAAAATAAATGAACAAACAGAAACAGACTCACAGACATAGAGAACAAACTGGTGATTACCAAATGGGAGGGGGCTTGGTGGAAAAGGTGAAGGGATTAATAAGTACAAATAGTTACAAAACAGTCATGGGGATGTGAAGTTTAGCACAGAGAATATAGTCAATCATAATCTAATAACTATAGTGCCATGTGGGTACTAGACTAATTGGGGGATCACTTCATAAATTATGTCTAACCACTGAGCTGTAAACCTGAAACTAATATAATATTGAAGGTCAACTCTAATTGAAAATTAAAAATTACAGTAAATCCACATCATATGCAGTCATTAAAAATGACAATACAGATTCACCTGTTTTAGTTCATAGATCCTGTTAAGAATCTAATAAATGCTGTGTATCTTCAACTCACAAAAATGCATATATGTTAGATGTTGTCCATCCATGGCAGATCACTAGTTACAACTTCTTGATATAGATCTTTACTGACATGAAAAAATGCCCACACTATCCAGGTTATCGAGCCTAATACTAAACAGAACAACCCCACTATGTGCCCTCTGCCTGAAGTGTTAACATGGATAGCTCCAGATTGGGATCTCAGTGCACTCACACCTCCATTCCAGATGACCCTACCAGTGTAGACCCTGCCCTCCTCCTTTACCAAGGTCTCAGCACCCTGTTGTTTTCCTTAACCTTTGTCATGATATGTTTGTCGATATACGGGTCTCTGCCCACCCCGTAGACTGTGGGCTCACGAAAGTTTAGGTCTGAGTTACTCATTGCATCCGCAAGCCACATCTAACCCTTATTTGTGTGGACCAAAAAGTTTTTACAGGAGAACATTTGCAATCAGTGGATAGCAAGAAAGACAAACTTGGGACCCCTCCCAAAAGCACTCCGTTCTCATTAGACCTGTATTTTAAAAACTGTACTCAGTGATTATATTTGAAGTCCACCAATAAAAAATGTTATGGGCATTTTTCTCTTGGGTTATGTAAGTACCTACATACTATCCTTGATTTTGCCCACACCACAGCCTATAATATTTGCTCTCTGGCCCTTTAGAGAAGTGTGCCATCCCTTCTCGGCCTTTTGGCTAAGATCAAATATAGAAGTTTGCCAACCCCCAGCCTAAAGCAATATATCTGGCATACAGGAGGCAATCCCTCAGCCTGTCAGGAGAAATTTTATAACAGTGAAAACGAAATAGATCTAAAATACACGTATGCGGATTTGCACAGAAGATAGGGGCAGTTGACCAAGTGTCAACTATGGCACTCAAGAGGGTCAGGTTATGGAGAACATTCAGTTTGCGTTTCTATCATTTGCTGCTGCTTGTTCTCTTACCCCACAACTACCATGTTAACTTCAACCTCGTGAGGACGAAAATAGGGCCACATGCTAAATCCGACAAGCTCAAGGGAAGCCCGTGTGGTGGGCCTTACAAACTCATACAAACTCAGAGACTGAAAGTAACCACGTAGGATGGTTTGAACGTAAAAATTCGTAACTAAAAGTGAGTCATGATGAGTCATCTCGTCCTAGACCGGTAGCTTCCTTCACGAAGGTCAATCTTTTCCTTAAATGAACCTGTCTGTCTTTTGCATCTAAGATAACATACCTTTGAAATGTCAGAGTAATCTTTTCTAGACCCCTTCAGGACACAACCACACCAGAGCACAGACCACAGAACCCCTCATTGTTATCTTGTTCCCGGCTCGAGCTGTAAATGTTAACTACCCTATAACCACCAATGTAAAAGAAGTGTTTCTCTATTTTGACTTTTTGGCCAATCCCAGAGATTTCTTCCATCCCTTTGTTTTCCCTTGCCCCCTTAATCTACCACCAGTGGATTTCATGAAACCCTCCCTTCATCTCTTTTTATTCTAATGTATAAAATAAGCTGGAAAACTGCCCTTTCCCAGAGCATTTTCTCAACCTTGAGATTTTGCTTCCCAACAATTATCATCAGTTTGAGTCACATAAACTCAAAAATTCTCTACAGGTTTGGCTGTTTCTTATGTGGACACTCATTTTAGAAGCGATGTCACTGCCCCTTTCAGGAAGAGCCACAGTCTAGCAGGCTGGGCACTGAAGGTCGTGGGGGCTCCTTCCAGGCTGCTTGGACAAACAACTCCGCAGAAACTACGGGAGTCCCAAAGAGGAGGCCAGCAAGAATGGAGGGTCCTGGCCCCAAAGTTTTCCTTACCAAAGCGTTGGGTCAAGAGAAAGCAACCGAGTGGGAGGATCTTTTGACTCTCACTAAGCCAAGCCCGGTGCCTCCGGTTCGGCTTCCACTCCTGGGGCTGGCCCAGAAGCCTCCTGTACGCATCTCACGTCCAAGTCTTTTCGCCGCAGCCCCTGGAGGAGGAAACACAGGCCCCCGCCCAGACCCAGTCAAGACCTCCCTAGGACTCTGGGCCCGCGGAGAACGCAGCCCGCAAGCCTTCGGGCTGCGACGTGCGGCTGGGACGAGCCCCATGTACGGATAACGGCCAGCGGTCCATACTACTCTAGCCTATCGGAGGAGGCGCTAGACAAGGGCCCATTTCGCGCCTGCGCGAAAAACTCCTGCGCGTGCTCATGCTAGCCCCTCCTGAGCGCTAGGCTTCGCTCAGCTTCTTCCCGCCCTCTTCCCACTCTCACTTCCGGGGTTTCCGGGCGACAGCCGTAAGTGGCGGGCGGAAACACCCCGCGAGGCCCGTCGTAAACGGCTTCCTCGCGCCACTTCCGGCCGGCTTCCGCAGACGGCGTTGGTGGGGGATCGTGAGGCGCCGGAGGTCGTTCACGGCAGCCGGAGCCATGGAGATGCCGCTGCCGCCCGACGGTGAGGCCCAGCCCGAGTTTAGAGAGCGTTTCTCTCTCCCTGGAATTCTCTCTCGGTCCGCCCCGCCTCCCGGGGTTCCTGGGACTAGGAGGGAACGAGGCGCGGCCTCCCGGGTTCGCCTGCGGCCTCTCTCGCGGGTCGCCGCATTCCCGGCGCGCTTGTGGCCCCTATCGGGACCCGTACAAAGGCGGCCTCTGCGGAGCCCACCCCAAGGGACCCCGGCCCGGCAGACGGGGGCTGGGGCGTCAGGGCCCCCGGATTTGGGCGGTCTTCGCTGACGCCCCGCGTGGCCTTTTCTCCGTTCTCCAGACCAGGAGCTTCGAAATGTCATCGACAAGCTGGCCCAGTTCGTGGCTCGCAACGGGCCCGAGTTTGAGAAGATGACGATGGAGAAGCAGAAAGACAACCCAAAATTCTCGTTTCTGTTTGGAGGCGAGTTCTACAGTTACTATAAGTGCAAGCTGGCGCTGGAACAGCAGCAGCGTGAGTCTTCTCCAGCTCTCGGGCCGCCCCTTCGAACGATTCCTTTCTCTGATTCCAGTGCGGCCTCTGCCACAAACCGCCTTCTTTTGGGTCGCATGCTCTTTCTCTGAAAATAAAGTAGTTCAGAATTCGTGATCCCTTCCGCCGTGCTTAGGGCCCTGTGTAATGGAGAACAAGGTTATCGATCCTCCTGGGCTCAGGATCGGGGATTCTTCTGTTGTTTTGCCGAGGTGATGATAGAGGTCAGCGGAAGTGTTTTCCAGGGAGGAAGTGATAGGGGGCTGGACTGGGACCCTGGACTGTTCTATGCTGGAGCATAGAACACGTATAGAAGAGAGAAGGGTTTGATCTGGTGTGGAAATGCCAGGGGAACGTTTGGGTTTTCTCCCCCAGGCCAGGGCTTCTTTCGCCTATTTAGGTTTGAGATGGAGGTGGAGGAGATCAGCCACATGAAATTGTAGGTGAAATGTTGTATGTGCTTATGTGTCTCTGGAGTGATCATTCCTTGACCCTGGCACACCAAGTTTAAAACCCCTGCTACCAGCAATATGAAGCCATGAGAGAGTTTGAAACAAGGTGGGGGTGGTCAGGTTTTTGTGGCCGGGCTAGAGGG